GAACATGGTATTTACCAACCCTGAGCTTGTAGCCATGGTCTAATTATGACCCATAAAGTTGTTATGGAATGTCAAATATATTGGCATGCTTGTAAAATGGTCTTTCCTTTTATTATTCAGAATTAGGTGCAAAAAAATGCCATAAACAAGTCGGACACTGCAAAAAAAGCTGTGATGCTAATGAAGAGATAAAACCAGGATGTAAATTCCAATCGGGTCGAGTCTGCTGTGTTCGCAAACGTAAAGGCAAGGAGGAACTGGACATTCGCGTGGTGCCTAGGACTTCTCCCACACCAGAATATGTAGTTTTTAACACACATCCTATAGATTACATTGTAACAGCACCACCCTATACACCTGAGTACTATTACAGAGAAACAGAAGATGAACTATCTGACCAAGTGGTATCTTAGGTGACTAGTCCACCAGTTTGTTAAAGCTCATGACTTCCTCTCTGCTGTCACTCGCCTGTCTTCAGAGTGATGGACTAAAGCCTATAGATAAAGTATTTGAAAATACCATGGTGAGACACTCTGCCTTCCATCAGTGTGTAATTCTAGATTTAAAACAAAACAAAACAAAAAAACAGCTGTGTAAGAAAGTCCAAAACTTCCCAACACTTTCAGTGATAAATTCTTCAGCACTTTTTGTGAAATGTCTGATTATTTCCATGACAGGTTTGAACCATTTTTCGTGCCCTTTGACTGCTGGTGACTTACTAGTATGTACAGCCTTACTCAGTTAAGTATTCCAACCTTAATCTTTCCATTTGTCCTTCTGTCTTCTTAAGAAGTGGTCTGGGATTCCAGAGACATCCCTTGTGTCAGTCCTGCCTCTTGGTGGCAGCATAAATTGTCACAATCAAAATTCGAAATCCTTGCATTTACCAGAGTAGTTTTTAGATCTCTAAGAGTGTTCTGTATAGCAGCAGAAACCTCAGGTGAAAGCTAACTTTGGCTCCAAATCTCTCTGTTATCACTCACTATAGGAACCTGGCCCGGGTATGAGCCCTCAGGACTCCTTTTCTCCCAGTTGCTTCAAGGTTGGAATAGAAACTGTGGAAAGGCTGGCCTCATAGGCACATTTCTTTGACCACACTTTGATCACACATGGACATCTGAAAGTAGGCCTCTTAATGGTGGGTGAAGGATGGGCCATTTTGTCCACCTAGCTTCTGAGAACTTCATTTGTCTTCCTGATGACATAAAAATATCAAGTACAGATTGGTTTTTACAAAATAGTCAGGGGGTTGGAAAGTGCATCACAGGGAATAAAATCAATAATATTGTAATAATTTTGTGTGGTGTGAGAGGATCACCTCATAAATTATAAATGTTTAACCACTATGCTGTACACCTGAAACTAATATAAAACAATATTGAATGTCAACCATAATTGAGAATTTTTTTAATTTAAAAATTAAATTTATAATTTTTTTTCAAGTTAAATATCTTCACACCCCAAGCTCTTCAGAGAGGTCCATTCACATAACTCTTGCACACACCTTGTTGCTATAAATCTTACCTTGTCCTTTCTGAGACCCAGAACAACCCACCAGTCAACCCGTTATCACTGTCCATGAATTCCTTATTCACTGTCAAATCTCAGGGCCCTTTTAAACCAGGCTGTTAACGCAGCACTTCTGGCTGATGCCAGCATCATGTAAACCGCTCCACAAACACGCTCTTGCTTTTCCTCCTCTGTTCACCAACCATAAGTTTTCCTTGTGACCCCATCCATGTGTGGTGAAAGACAGGCAGTAAAGCAGGTCCCCTAGGCATCTAAGCCATCTGGTTCTGCAGTTTATTTATACTTTGCAGACCTTAAGTCTCAGTTTTGAACATATCATTTCTAACATAGCTATCTTTTTTTCAATATATATTTTATTGATTTTTTTTACTGAGAGGAAGGAAGAGAGATAGAGAGCTAGAAACATTGATGAGAGAGAAACATCAATCAGCTGCCTCTTGCACACCTCCTACTGGGGATGTGCCCACGACCAAGGTACATGCCCTTGACCGGGATCGAACTGGGGACCTTTCAGTCCGCAGGCCAATGCTCTATCCACTGAGCCAAACTGGTTAGGGCTTGGGCTGCTTCTTGGGCTGCTGCTAATACTTAATTGATGAGAAATTTAAAACTCATGAATTCATTTTTTCAGAAGCTTATTAATATTACTAATACTTCTAATATGTAAAGCTTTTGAACATCTGAATCTCTGGTCTGTGGTTTCTGCTATCTTTAATTCATGGTGCCTCATTGCCTTGCATGTTTTCTGATCTGCGCATCTTTCTTGGAATTTTATCTGAGTAGATTAATTGAGTCATGACCTCCAGAACTACCTCTTCATTTACTTCTGTCAGGTATCTTTGGCACTACTGTTGGGACAACTTTAAACTAAATCATCAGCTGGATTTTTAAAAAAATTCTTTATTGTTGAAAGTCTTACATATGTCTCCTTTTCCCCCATTGACCTCTCCCAGCCTGCCCCTGCCCTCCAGCACAGGCCCTCACCCCTTTTTCATCTGTGTCCATTAGTTATGCTTATATGCATGCAGGCAAGTCCTTGGGTTGATCTCTTACTTCTACCTCCATCCTCTACCCTCCATTGCCTTCCCTCTGAGGTTAGATGGTCTGTTCGATGCTACTATGTCTCTGAATCTATTTTTGTTCATCAGTTTATGTTGTTTATTATATTCCACAAGTAAATGAGGTCATGTGGTACTTATCTTTCTCCGACTGGCTTATTTCACTTAGCATAATATCACCTGGATTCCCCCCCTGCCCCCTCCCCCCCCTCCCCCCCCCCCGCCCCCCCCCCCGCCCCAGACCATTCATATACCATGAGTTTAGGCTAAGAGACAATGTGAAAGCCAGCTGGCAGTTTTAAATTCTTAGTGGAGATTTTTTTCTACATACTGAGTACAAAGGTTCAAGACCAGGCAATTGTCCTTGAAACATCTGGTGAAAGAGGAGTGTTGTGTCTGTTTTACCCTTACTTACACAGCATATATAACCCTCTCAGGACTGAGGTTTATATAAAAGTCTCCTACCAGACTCAGTTTTTCAGACCCTTGGAACTGTCTCCTCTTCCCTGCCTTCCACCTCTACCCTGGCCAAAGCCATGGAAACCAAAGCTTCAAGTTCACTGGACTCAGCAAATTCTTCAGTTTTTGCCCTCAGAAAAGCACCTGGTTTCACTTGACCATCATTCTTTACTCTTTTTGCAAGGTCAAGGATGCCTAAGAAGTTGTTTTGAATCATTCAAGTAATTATTTTAGATTGAGATATTTCAATGGGAGGGTTAATTTGGGTTTTTAGACCATTATCCTGCCAGAAACAGAGGTCAGAACCAACACTTTTCTCCAGACCCTAAGCTTTGCTGTTGTGAGAAGATGGGTGGAAGCAAGGAAAAAAGAAGAAAATTGTCAAAGGATAAAATTATCACTCAATGTCTGAAACCAAAACGATGAAATGACCACTTTCTTAAATAAAAGAAAGTCATGCTGGTCAGGCATGGGCTCTTTAAGCAGAGCAAAGAGCTGAACTTATACAACATTTGGGGGAAGCATCTTAGAGGGGTGGTGTTGATTACAGATGTAGAGGTGGGTTGATGGCAACTTAGAAGTGTGTTCACTTATGCCCGTGGTCGGCAAACTGCGGCTGGAGAACCACATGCGGCTCTTTGGCCCCTTGAGTGTGGCTCTTCCACAAAATACCACGGCCTGGGTGGGTCTATTTTGAAGAAGTGGCATTAGAAGAAGTTTAAGTTTAAAAATGTTGGCTCTCCAAAGAAATTTCGATCTTGTACTGTTGTATTTGGCTCTGCTGACTAATGAGTTTGCCAACCACTGACTTAGGTGAACCCAGAGCCAACCGGCTGGCTTTCAAAGCTTAATGCTGTCACTGATAATTTGATTTTCAGAAGAGTGTTCACTGAAGCAAGTTCCACTGATCAATGTGAGAGATTCAAAACCATTCAAGGAATTTACTTGTTACCATGGCTATAAAACTGTCAGTCTTTTTCTGCGAATGTGAAGAGCTTTTATTCTCACAACAGAATAGAAACTTCAGGGGAATGTAATGAGACAAATGACAGAGGAACTACAAAAGATGATGGAGAAGGAATAGTCCAAACGTTAGGAGGAAAACAGAAAGACCTCACAGAAGCCAACCAAGCTAAGGTTTTCAAGGAGGGATGAATGAGGGTTGAAAATGCTGCCAAGAGGCAGAGTAAGATATTAGTTGTTCAACAGCCACAAACTTTCAAAACTGAGTCCCATTGATGACCTTGGCCGGGGCCAGTTCAACAGAACAATAAGCACAAAAGCAAACTGTACCAAGTTGTGGAGAGGCAGCAAAATAGAGACATAGAACTTTCCTTTTGACAAAATGTGGAACTAAAGATAGAGAAAGAAATAAGGTATTAGTAGAGGTAAGATAGAAAGAATAAAATTAGAATGTTATCTTAAAAAGCTAAAGTTGGTTAAAACTCTAGATTTTCAGGAATTAAAAGAACTCAATCATCAAAAAGAACAACAGCATTCAATGTTCTAGTTCCTTCCCAGATAATTACCTAACTTGAAACCTTGCCAACTTATTTTACATGTGAGCAGCTGGTTAGGAAGTTCTCCCATTGGCTAAAACAGATTTGTCTACAAGACCTTCACCCACTGTTCTATGGCTGTATCTCACCAGTTCTGGTTTCCCTCTGAAACCAACATAGCACAAATCAGGTCATAGTTCTGCCTAAACCCTCAACCTTCCCTCGATGAATTGGAGTACATTCTCTCCCTATCTTCACTGACTTATCGAGATGTTTTCGTTTCTTGTCGCTGTTTTTTTAGTCTTCTCTCTCACAGGACTGGATCCAGAAGGGGGCAGATACCTTGTCATGCAAAACCCGATCTCCCCGTGATTTGCAATAAATGAAAGACTAGGCTACCAGGCGCATGACTTTTAATGAGAGGTAATGACAGCAGGCAGAGGAGGAAGATCACTGGCGCTCAGGGTATTTTTGGCCAGCGGGCCACTTTGTTCTGTTCATGTCTGTCCTCTTTGCTAATAACGTTTATCTTCATGTAGGACTGGAGGCAGCATGTTTTATAATTTCTACAATAGAGGTAGGGCTGTTCAGTCTTTTTGCAAGATGATCTGCAGATTCCCATGTTACCCATGCAATGGAGGACGTGTTGTCTACCTGATCAAAAACAACAACAACAACAAACAAAAACAATCAGTTAATTTCCACTTAGCAGTAACATAGAGACAGTGAGCCAGGGAGAACAGTCAATACCCAAAGGGCTAACACAATAGCGAGATAGCATTATCAGAAGGACCAAACCTGAAACACGGAAAACACGAAATCCTGGCAAGAAGGTGGAGCACCGGGAACGCTCACACTTTGCTGGTGGGAATGAAGAGTGGTGCAGGCACTCTGGGAGATAGTTTGGTGGTTTCTTGGAAAACTGAACATACTCGTGCCATACGAACTAGCCAATTGTATTTCTTGGTATTTGCCCAAAGAACTTGAAAGCTAATGTCCATGCAAACATCTGCACCCAGGAGTTCATAGTCGTTTTATTCATAAACCCCAAGTTTGGAGGCAACCAGGATGCCCTTCAGTGGGTGAATAAATAAAATCCAGTACTTCCAGATAATGGAATATTATTTAGCACTAAAAAGAAATGAGCTATCAAATCATGAAAAGGCATAAAGAAAGCTTAAATGTATATTACTAAGTGAAAGAAATCAATCTGAGAAGGCTGCATAATGTATGATTTCAACTACATGATATTCTAGAAAAGGCAAAATTATGGAGACAATTAAAAGAGTAGTTGTCATGGGTTGGGGTGGGGTAGAGATAAATAGGTAGAGCACAGAGGATTGGGTGGCAGTGAAAATACTCTCTATGATACTATAATGATGGATTCGTGTCATTATACATTTGTCTGAATCCATAGAATGTACAACACCAGAAGTGAGCCATAATGTAAACTATGGGCTTTGGGTGATTATGATGTATTGATATAAGTTCATCAATCGTAACAATTGTACATTCTGGTGGGATCTATATATGTAAAAAGCCAGCAACCTTAACGCCATAATAAGCAGTTACCAATTGCTATGATGCCTACTGTGGCCAGCCAGCCAACCTCCCACAGCCTTTCCCCCAGGCAGGCCTGCCCCTGATCAAACTCTCTCACCCCTATCAAGGGTAGGGTTGGCCAGCCAAACACCCCCCCACCACACACACACCCTCTGCCTTCCTCCCAGCCAGCCCCACCCCCTACCCGCCCACCCCCCATGGCCCTGCCCCTGCAGCACCTCCCCCCTCTTGGCCCCACTCCTGATTGGCCTCTCCATCCTGATCAGGGGCAGAGCTGGCTGATCAACCACCCACGGCCCTCTCCCAGGCTGCTGGCCCCCAGTCGGCACTCCCCACCTCATTCAAAGGCAGGTCCAGCTGGCCCACCACCCACAGTTTCTCCCCATTGCCAGCCCTGCCCCCAATCAACACCCTCAACCCTAATCAGGGGCAAGGCCCACCAGCTGATTGCCCACAGCTCCTCCTCCCAGCCAGCCGGCCCTGATAGTTCCTGATCAGGGGCTGGGTGGCCTGCCAATTTCCTACCATCTCCTCCTCCCAACAGGCCCAGCCCTAATCTGCCCCAGTTGGGGTCAGGCCGACTGGACCCCACCTGTGCACAAATTCGTGCACTGGGCCTCTAGTATGTTGAGAACAGGAGAGGCTGTGACTGAGTAGGAGCAGGGAGTATAGGAGAAATCTCTGTGCCTTATCAATTTTGCTGTGAACCTAACACCAGTCTGAAAAAAAAAAGTATTTTTTTAAAAAGGAATCCTTCAAAATTAAATAAAGCTACTATGAACATTTTTTAAACTACATTTTCATTTATTGAATAAATGCCCAAGAGTACATTTGGTGAGTAGTATGGTGAGTATATTTTTGTGTTTTTTTTAAAGAAACTGTGTGCCAATCTATTTTCCATAGTGGTTGTATCATTTAACATTCTCACCAGCAATGTATAAAAGATCCAATTTCTCTACACCCTTGCCAACATTTACTGTTGCCACTATTTTCAATCTCAGCTATTCTAATAAGTATGTAATGGAATCTCATTGTGGCCTTAATTTGCATTTCTCTAATTGCTAATGATGTCGAACATCTATCTTTTCACGTGCTTATTTGCCTGCCATCTGTATATCTTCTTCAATTAAATATCTTTTTAAGACTTCTAATTGGGCTGTTTGGTTTTTCCTGTTGAGCTGTGGGAGTGGCCTATATCATCTAGTCCTTTGTCAAATATGTGATTTGTCAATATTTCTCCCCATCTGTAACTTGTCTCTTTATCTTTTTCACAGGGCCTTTCCCAGAGTAAAGTTTTAACTTTTGACCAAGTCCAATTCATTGATTCTTTTTCTTTTATAGATTGTGCTTTTCACCTACATCTGAAAGTTTTTTTGTAGAAGTTTTATACTTTTACATTTAAATTTAAATCTGTGACCCATTTTGATTTAATTTTTTGTATAAGTTTTGAGATTTAGATTAGGGTGTTTGTGTATTTTGTTTTGTGTGTGTGTGTCTGTGTTTAGGGTTTTTGTTGTTTTGCCTACAAATTCCAATTGCTCAGGCAACGTCTGTCGAAAAGGATATCTTTCTTGCATTAAATTGCTTTGCCCACTTGTAAAAAATCAGTGGTTGGTACTTGTGTGGGCCTGTTTCGGGGTTTTCTATTCTGTTCTATTGATCTTTCTGTCTATCTCTCCACCAATATCAGTATCTTGATTACTTTAGCTACCTAAGTCTTGAAATCTGTTAACATAATTCCTCCAACTTTATTCTTCTTTTTTGAATTTGTTTTAGCTATTCTCATGTCCTATGGACCTCGGACAAGAATCAAACATGAGCCCTAGCTGGTTTGGCTCAGTGGATAGGGTTGGCCTGCAGATTAAAAGGTCCCAGTTTCAATTCCAGTCAAGGGCATATACATCCTCCCCAGGGAGGGCTTGTGCAGGAGGCAACCAATCAATGTTTCTCTCACATCGATGTTTCTCTCTGTCTTTCCCTCTCTCTTCCACTCTCCCTAAGAATCAATGGAAAAATATCCTCAGGTGAGGGTTAATCCCAAAAAAAGATGAATTCTTCATCTAGTATCAATCGCAACTTAGATTATAGGTACTGGTGCACAGAACAGAGGCTGGATTGATGTTCAGCTATCTCAGCAGCCCCATGTATAAGTCGAAGGAAAGGTCCAGGGCAGGTGCCAATCTACCCTGCTTTGGGCTCACAATACTTTTATGACTGTCAGGTCAACCTCCTTCCCCAGAGGGGTTTGCCACTCACTGCCAATGTTTCTACCCACCTTCACACCACTCAGCCTAGCCTATAAGGAAGCACTATTAAAGTAAAAGACACACCCCTTCTGTCTCATCCCAGACATGAGGTCCTTTCCTATCTTCCCTGGAAAGGACAGTGTGAGATTTGCATCCAAGAGAAGTGCACACTTGAGGCGGCAGAGCAGGCAGACAAACCTGTTTCAAACCTTCCCCCTGGAGAAAGGCCATGGTACCCGCAGACAGGGGTTTCAAAGATGCCCAGCCTAAGCCCAGCTTTTGTCAGAGCTTCACAGCTCCTAACACCTGCCTTCCTGTAATGCCGGTGGTCTTGATCTGGCATCTAGAAGGGTTCAGCAATCTGGAGAAGGCGCTGTGCTGATTTACCCACCTCCCAACCCACTTACGGTTTCAGATACGCACTCGTCGTTCATTCACTCAGGAAACACTCACTAAGTGGCGTCTGTGCTGAGCACGGGGCTTGACCTCAGGCGTGTGGTCATAAATAAGGTGCCTGGTATGTGTGTGTTTGGGGGATTGGTGGGAAGGGGGCAGTGCCTGAAGTAATTACACAATCACGTGATATGAACCACACCTTCTTAACAGCGACACGTTGTGAAGCCAACCAGAGCTCACTTTGAATCCCTGTTCTATCTTCATCTTTTGTGGCCCTCCTGCCTAAGGATGCACACACAGTGAGCCCCACCTCCAGGCGTGGATCTAAGGAAAGGGCCACACAGTCCCTGGGAGAGGCATGGGGTTCTTTGGGTAGGAAATGGCAGGTCCCAGCTACCCTGGCTAAGGCACCGGGCATGAATCAGGGAGGGATCTTTTCTAGGTGGTGGGATCCAGAAGAGGGCCACTGCCTGGTGTGTTTGGCTCTGGCTGGCTGGCAGTGTTAAGAAGGCTGCAGGGCAGCTCATGGGCCTTGTTCAAGTTGGTTCTTACTCATCAGTTAGTTTGCTCTCAAAACACATAGATTTCCCACACTGGGAAATCCGAGGAGAGTCCAAGGATTTCCCCAGTATATAAGCATAACACAGGTGGGTCCTGAGGCAAATGCAAATGAAAGCTCATAAATTACACCAGTATGTCTGAATATGTAAGTTATGAATCTAGTTAACAAACAGAATAAATGAAATATATCCTATTGCCCTTTATGAACTATCCCTTCGTGATCGCCTGAAAGGTCAGATCTGAATTGACAGTCCTTGGATTCTTCAGAGTTCCACGCAGGAAAAGGAAGCATGAAGGAGCTGGCTCAGCCCACGGCCCGCTTCTCTCCTTGTCCATCCAGTCTCTCTCCCCATCCATCTCAACTCTCGCCTCTTCCATCCCTCCTCTCTCCCCATTCATCCCTCCTCTATCCCTCCCATCCTTCCTCTCTCCCCATCCATCCCTCCTCTATCCCATCCATCCCTCCTCTCTCCCCATCCATTCCTCCTCTCTCCCCATCCATCCCTCCTCTATCCCATCCATCCCTCCTCTCTCTCCATCCATCCCTACTCTCTCCTCGTCCATCCCTCCTCTCTCCTCATCCATCCCACCTCTCTCCTTGTCCACCCCCAGCTCTGCCCCACAATGCAAGGATTCTCACATGCACAGACATGGACACCAAAGCCTGAACATCCAAGATCTGCCACACTCTTCCTGCCTAAGGATCCAGAGTGAGCCCCACTCTCCAGGGTGGACCTAGAAAAGGCCCATGCAGTCCCTGAAAGCAGGCAAGGGGGTTCTTTGGGCAGGAAATGGCAGGTCCCACCTACTCAAATCACAGTCTAGGAAGCTGGGTAGAGGCATGGGGCCTCCACAGTTCCTAGGCAGATATCTCTCTCTTGCCCCCCATGAACCCCTCAGCCCATGGGAAGGGACCTAGCCAGAGGAAGCCTAGAGGAAGATCAGGATTAGAGAAGGGGGGGTCTCTCTCTCCAGAGTCTGGGGGTGGAAATACTGAATTGGGAGGAAATGATCTCTGTGGGTCAGAGTGAACTCCTCTGTCTCTCGGTCATGCACCATGTTCACGGAACACTCCGTCCTCTGAGCTCGCTGCTCAGAACACCGCGCTGCTTGTTCTCTTGTTAGATAAAAGAAGCCTAGAGACCGGGGTTTAGGATAACAATACGTGGAAGACACCTCTAGAATCTTCTCTATTCCCAGTCAGAATTCTTTTTTTTTATTTTTATTGATTTTTTATAGAGAGGAAGGGAGAGGGATAGAGAGCTAGAAACGTCGATGAGAGAGAATCATCGACCAGCTGTCTCTTGCACACCCCCTACCGGGGATGTGCCCACAACCAATGTAGATGCCCTTGACCGGAATCGAACCTTGGACCTTTCAGTCTGCAGACCGACGCTCTACCACTGAGCCAAACCGGTTTCCGCCCCAGTCAGAATTCTTGAATGTTCCCCGTGGGCGAGCTTTCTCTTCATTCAGATGAAACAGGCTTTTCTGTCCCTCAGAATGGAACACCATTGGAAGACACACACACATACTCATTCCTTCAATGCCTTAAATCAGTGAACAGCAGCAACAACTAGCATTTACTGGCAACATGCTGTGTGCAGGGCCCTGTGCTTTACCTTTTCTCACTTCATTCTTACCCCACCCTGAGTCAGCACCCATCACCCCAATGTTACAGGCAGGGAGCCAGCATTCGGAGAGGTGCAGGAAATGTATCATTTACTTATGAATCGGTAGACTTGTGTACTTTGCCACTTCTTAGTTCTTAGAAACTTTCGGATCCTTGGGGCTGTGGGCTCCTGAGCATCCAAGGGCATCTCAGTCAACTTACCCAGAAATCCAAGGATTTGGCTCTCTTCGGTCCCTGTTCCCCCAGTCCATTCACCCCCAGAACAGACCAACTCTCCCAGCCCAAGGATTCTCCCACGCTCCAGGTGTCTGCTGTGTCTTTAAATCTCAGTTTTCCGCGTGTGCTGCTCAGTCCCTTCCTGACCCGACACCCCTTCCTGCAGCCGGAAGATGAGGAACCGTCTTCAAAGCTGCAATCATCCCTCCCTCCATCACTGTGGCCCAGCCTCGGGGGTGTCTCCCTGCCACCATAGATTTCTCCCGTGCCATCTCCTCACCCTCAGTCCCTCTGGAGCACTGTTTCTCACGATTGACAGGCACAAGAAACAGCTTTGCGAGTTTTAATGGAATGTGGGAACTAACCAACTAAAAGCAAAGTCATTTCAACCCACAATTCCTATTTCTCTTCCAATTCAGTGTCCGAGTCTGGACTTAGGTTTTTTGGGTTTTCTGATTGGCGCCAGAGTGGTCCAGGGGTACGGTCCATCAATCGTTACCGGATTCATTGTTAGGTAACGACTGAGGATACAGCACCGCTTACGATTTGAGCAGCGTAGGACATGCTCTTCGCCATCTTCACACAGCAACCGGCATTTTCCATTCATCCAACAGTCTGCCACTTTCTCTAGGAACAACCATGTTAGTATCCTTCAAAGGGAGAGACAGCAGAAGCATAGAAGGACAGGGGGCAGGGAGGAAGAGGGCTGAGTCAGTAATGCGGGAGCCGGCCCCGGGAAAGGAGAAGAGACCTTAAAGGGGGACAGAACCGAGACACGTGTTCCAAAATTGGGAATGACAAGGGATTTTTTCAAAAGCCTTTTTTAGACATCCTACCCTTCTCTCTTCCTATCCCCCAACCTCCTCCTCCTCCTAATTTTGGGATCAATTGCTGCCAATGGCACTAATGGGGCTTGGGGGTGATGGAAAAAGGACACACACACACGCACACACACACACACAAAAAAAGACAAAACCTATAATATTAGGGGGTGAAGGGACCCAATTACATTTCAATAGATCTGGCTCTTTATCAATAGTCAGTCTAGCCCTATCTAACAGAAGCCCAAGAAGCCCCAGCTCCAGCTACAACCCAATCTGCAATTCTCCTTGACCCCATATTCACCCATTTCAAACTTAAAACCCAGCCCAATCTTAATTAGAACTCTCAGACTTACCCAGCTCAATGCCCCTTGATCCCCAACTAACAAGCCAAACCCAAATCTAATCACGTCACCAGCCTCAGTTCTGAGCAGTAATCCCTCACCAAGCTGAACCTCTAATAAACTTCTTGCACCATCCAGTACCAACTCTCAGTTTCAGCCTAACCCCACCCCCACCCCCATCTAACTCCCAACACCAGCCCCGCACACCCCAAGTCCCCTCCCCTCTCCAGCCCACCCCAAACATCTAGAAGCCCAATTCTTCACCTCTGGCTCATCTGAATCTTCCCTCTCTCACTCCAACCCTAAGGTCTTTCTCCCCCATCTCAACTCCACCCCCAGCCTTCAATCAAATCTCCCAACTCCCCCCAAAAGTCCTCAACCTGCACCAAGCATGTCAAACTCACAGCCTGCCGACTATGTGCCTCATTTCTTCAGCCCAAGTTAGCCTTTGAGTTCGACAGGCTGGACCTACACCCAACCCTTCGCTCCTGAGCCCGCTCCCAAGATCCCACCCGCACACTATCCTGCCCTTAAGTGTCAGATGCTCCAAACATCTCCCCACCACCAGAAAGAAAGAAAGGAAGGAAGGAAGGAAGGAAGGAAGGAAGGAAGGAAGGAAGGAAGGAAGGAAGGAAGGAAGGAAGGAAGAAAGAAAGAAAGAAAGAAAGAAAGAAAGAAAGAAAGAAAGAAAGAAAGAAAGAAAGAAAGAAAGAAAGAAAGAAAGAAAGAAAGAGAAAAAGCATCAGGGAGAGGTGTAGACAGGAGATGATTATGGGAAGACCCCCCCCAAAGCCTTGTGAAATGAGGGAGGGCTGAGGATGCTGCCCGCAGTGAGGAGGAAGGGGAGGCGGAGAAGTTCACGGCCCGGATTCTTGAGAGAGCCCCACGCTACCTGATACCTCCGGCTGGATGGCCAGGAGGATGACAAGCAGGAGTAGAGCCCTCATGACTGGCAGGTCACGGGAGAAGGAGGCGGCTGTGGGGCCGGGATGGAACGAGTGCTCGGTGGGCCGCCGGGATGAGCCTGGTTTTTAAGGGCGGCGCCGGGGGCAGCGGAGTGCGGCGGGAGGAGATTGATGGGCGGTCAGCCAGGCCAGAGGACAGTGTGTAGCAGATGTGGCGGCAGCAAAGCACAGGGCGAGCGCGTGGGGGGCTGGCCAGCGCCCAGGCCCCAGTGGCTTTTCCTCCGGCAAGGAAGGGGGCTTTATGAGGCCCACCAGGGGATTATGTAATTAATGTGTAAATACATATCAAGAAGCATCTACAGTAAAGAACAAAATCATTCTCAGCTTCCTTTTCAAATTAGTTAGCTACTTTATCGTGGACACGGTGTCTGCGTTCTAACAAAAAGACACGCACATGTATCCTTTCTGAACCTTGGCGGGGCTTGTTCTTCCTGCAGCGTTGCCCTGCGGACCCCAAGGCTGGCTTGTGCTCAGCTTTCAGTCTCACACACACCTCCTTGGAGAGGCTTTCCTGCGCTCCCCCCTGCAGCCGCTCTGCAGCACAGCAGCTTGTTTCATGACCTTCAAAGACTTATTCATTTCGGTTTGGTTTTGTTTTTACATGTTTAGTCTTCGACTCTTCCATAAGAATGTCAGAAATTTACCTTGGGATGCCAGTGCCTGTCGCATCAGCTGGTATTAGTAAGTGTAACTAGAGTATAATTGAGATGTTAATTCAACTGTTTCAACCAATATCTGTTTTCCCCAAACAAGGATTCCAAAAGGCAGACACTGGCTTCTTTCTCATGTAAAAGTCTGGGCAAGCAGTTACGTGTAGCAGCGTCACAGGAGCGAGATCCCTCCTGGCTGGGTGCTCTGCCCGCCTCACAGGCGGCTCCCCGGGTGAGCCAGGAGGGCTGCTCCATTCCCACCGTCAGGTCCCCATGGCAGCCATCAGGGGCGGGCAAAGGAGGAGGACAGCCGTCAGGGGGAGGACAGAGTGCACACCTTCCCCACACACACACCCTTTTACCTCCTTCCCCCTTCACCTCCCCCCCTAGGGCCCCAATGGGAATCGCCACACATCAGTCATTTTCACTCCAGGCCATTGGCCTGGCTCACGCAGTTGGCCACACCCGGCTGCAAGGTGGGCTGGAAACCTTTTCTTTATTCTGGCAGCCGGCTCCTTAAATTCAGGGGTTACCTCCCTAAGAAGGGGGGGACAGTTGCTGAAGAGCAGCTAGACATCTCTGACACACCTGGGACATGGCAGGTCCTTAATACGTATGTGTAGGCCGAATAAATAACAGGCACTGCGTTAGCTATGAGGAGTGTTCTAACAGGGAGGCAGCCCCAGTCCGCCTGGAGCCGTGGTCGGCAAACTGCTGGGAGAAGAACGGAGAACAGAAAGCAGACTTCCACAGAGGAAGATCAGTAAATAGCTGTAGCTGTGAATGTTGGTAGCAGAAGGGGAGACTTGGAGGCAGATGAGGCAGACACCAATCATCATGGGAGGGAAACAGACCTGCCACCTGAGTTTGTGCCCTGACCAGGAATCTAACTGGTGACCTTTCGATGCACAGGACGACACTCAACCAACTGAGCCACACCAGCAGGGGCAGATGTTTTTTTACCCAGAAAAATCACTCTGACAGGTGATGCTGAAGACAATTACCAGAGTGAGGGAGATTGTAATTTCTCTTAGGAGAAATTACAAGGCCTGCATTGTAGCCGAGAGAGCGTACACATAGAGGGTGTGAGAAGAAAACCATCACTAAAAGCTGGAACCCTCAGAGGAGATCCCTCCCAACCACAGTAACCAGCTAGAGAGAGCTGACTCTCTGCTAGTTTGGTGAGAAGGATTTCACAGGTGTAATCTCCTCTCTGTCTCACAGTCACCAGAAAGAGTTTTCCCCCGTTGAGCTGATTTGAAAACTAAAGTTCAGAAGAGCTAATGTTTTGCCCAGGTGACCATTTGAGGAATCCAGGATTTGAACCCAGGTCGACTGCCTCCCAGTTACGGTGCTTCCGCTCACCACCCAGTCTCCTGCTGTTTCTTCAGACTTGGGCCAGCTGGGGTCCCAGATCCATGAGGAAGCCAGTCTGAAAGAAGTCTCTAGGAATTCTTGCCTAGAAAAACTTGAGGAGGGTCTACAGAGAGAAGGTCAGGGGAAGTCAGAGTCACTCTGGTTTGTACCTTCATTATTTTATAACAGTGCTGTTGAAGTTACGTGCTATAAAATCCACTCCTTAAGTGTACAATGCAATGGCTTTTTGTAAGTTTATAGTTTCATTACCATCACTACAGTCCAATCTTAGAACACTTTCTTTTTCTTTTTTTCTTTTTTAAAAAATATATTTTATTGATTTTTTGCAGATAGGAAAGGAGAGAGATAGTTAGAAACATCGATGAAAGAAAAACACTGATCAGCTGCCTCTTGCACATGCCCTACTGGGGATGTAACCGCAACCAAGGTACATGCCCTTGACTAGAATCGAACCTGGGACCTTTCAGTCCACAGGCCAATGCTCTATCCACTGAGCCAAACCGGTTAGGGCAAATCTTAGAACATTTTCATCACCCAAAAAATATCTTCCCATACCAATCTGCAGTCACTACTCATCCCACCCCAGCCATGATGGAACTGATGTTTATGATAATACCATCGGCTATGTGTTGAGCATTGTCTGGGGTTAATTCTCTCAAGGAAATGTGTCTGACTAAGGAGGAAACTGTGGCTCAGAGAGGTGAAATGACTGAGCCAGGGTCACTGAGAGGGTCAAGATTCAAACCCAGGACTCTGGGCCCAGACCAAGAAGAAGATTCTGAGGAATGTGTTTGTAAAGATGTGGGAGATGTAACATTGTTTAAGCTGAGGAGAAATACACTGTATAAACAGAGATAATGAACACATAGAAGAGAGAGGGGTTTGCTGATAGAGAAAATTCAACGGAAACAGAAGGGAGTGGATTAAACAAATTAAATGCAAACACTGGACTTCAGTAGAGAGAGCTCTCTTGTAAGAGGGTGGGGGTTTTATAGAAGGACTGCATAGCACTGATCTTACAACCTCAAACTTTTATGTCAAACGGATCTGAATTCAAATCCTGCCTCTGCTACCTGTGTGGCTGCTATAAATATGTATCTGTTTTGTTTTGTCGTCTACCATCGGTATCCACCTTCCCATTTGGGAGAAGTCCCCTCACCATCACAGTCTGAGGAGGGGCAGTGCCAACTCTTAAAGTTCAAGTACTTGTTTTCCTGCCTCTCTTGCAGGGAGGATGTGAGCACATGGCAGAGGCTCAGCCAATCAGATGCCCCCATTCTGTGTGTTGTTGTTTTTTTTAATCAGATGCTCATAATTCCAAGAAACAGGAACACTGGAGGATTTATTTCAGCAAAAGAGCCCACCGTGATATCCAGGGTCCGAGGCAGCAAGGAGGCAGAGCAAGTGGAAGTGGAACTCAGGGTCCCAACCAATGGGGTTTGGTGGCAACTGTATGTTCCCTGAACTGGGTCTTAGGGTGATTTTTCATTCTGGTTCTACCTACCCACCTCCCTGCCTGTTTTTAAAGCCTGATTATGCAACCCCTGAGCGGGCAGATAGCCAGAGGGTTTCCTTGCTAAAAATTGTAATTAATACAGTGACTATGGGCAAATTGTTTAATTTGGGGAGATAATACTAATGTCTGCCTCATGCTTTCTTTTTTTTTTAATATGTTTTTTATTAATTTTTTTTTGTTTGGGGAATTTTTTGAAGAGAGAAGAAGGGAGAGGGAGAGAAACATTGATGTAAGAGAGAAATCTACTGGGAATCAAGCCTGCAATCCAGGAATGTGTCCTGACCACAAGTCAAGCTAGTGACCTTTTGGTGCAGGGGATGGTGCTCAAAAAGCTGAACCATACTAGCCAGGGCTCATGATTTTATAGGACATTTAATTGATAATAAAATGCCTATCCTGTGTTTAGCACAGTGCTGGGTAGATAGTGCTCGATTCACTTTTTTTTTTTTTTAATAAGTTTTTATCGTTCATATTATTACAAATGTTCCTTTCCCCCCCCCCCCCCACCATTGCTCTCCTCCACCAGGTTCCCACCCCACCCTCTGCCCTTTCCCCTCTCCCCATTGTCCTCATCCATAGGTGCACAGTTTATGTTCAGTCTCTTCCCACGACCCCCTCTCCCCTTTTCCCCAAGAATCGTCAGTTCACTCCCCTTCCATACCTCTGATTCTATGATATTCAACAGTTAATATTGTTCATCAGATTTTTTAAATTTCCTTGTTTTTTAGATTCACTTGTTGATAGTTACGTATTTGTTGTTCATAATTTTTATCTTTGTTTACTTTCTCTTCTGAAAGAACCCCCTTCAGCAATTCATATAATTCTGGTTTGGTGGTGATGAACTCCTTTAGCTTTTTTTTATTAGTGAAGCTCTTTATCTGGCCTTCGATTCTGAGTGATAGCTTTGCAGGGTAGATTATTTTTGGCTGTAGGTTCTTACTATTCATCACCTTGAATATTTCTTGCCATTCCCTTCTGGCCTGCATGGTTTCTGTTGAGAAATCAGCTGACAATCATATAGGTGCTCCTTTATAGGTTACTACCTTCTTTGCTCTTGCTTCTTTTAATATTCTCTCTTTGTCTTTTGCTCTTGGAATTTTAATAATGATGTGTCTCGGTGTGGTCCTCTTTGGATTCCTTTTGTTTGGAGTTCTGTGCACTTCCTGGACTTGCAAGTCTAATTCTCTGACCAGGTGGGGGAAGTTTTCTGTCACTATTTCTTTCAGTATGTTTTCGATATCTTGCTCTCTCTCATCTTCTGGGACCCCCATAATTCTGATGTTGGTTCGCTTGAAGTTGTCCCAGAGGTTTCTTACATTATCTTCAATTTTCTGGATTCTCTTGCCTTCTAGCTTCTGTGGAGGAGTGTCTTCTGGCTCTTTATGTTCCAAATCTTTGACTTGATTCTTGTGATCTTCCCTTCTGTTTTTAGGACTCTG